TATTAGGGTGGCTCTTAAATGGCGTATTTAAGACGCTGGCCTAAACATGCCGGCCCCCTTGCGGCAAGCAATCTGGAAGTTTACGTATTTAGGCCACCAAGTTTCATCGTTTAGTAGATATGTCTTAAAACTATAAGCGACGTATCCATTTACGTTCCGCATTTGTCGAACCTAAATTCTAGAAAAAATGTAAAGGAAGAAAAAAGTCACAATAAAACGTGGTTTGAAATTCACAAGCACTTGTTTATTTTTATTTCAATTCATGTTATTAATCCAGATTTTCGAAAAAATAAAAAAGTGAATATAAAAAATTTATTGTAATTGTTGGGGGGAAAAATCATTCAGCAAGCACCGGAGAGCACCCACCCGAAGATTGTATTTTGTGCCAATAGTGGGCCCATGGCACCTGCGGGAAGAGCGCCCAGGAAAATCTTGGGGAAAACGTCGGCCCCAAGAACTACTCGGACTGGCGAAGAAATGTGGAACCGCGGGTCAGCCAGTCTTAAATTTGTATACACTGCGCCAATCGAAGCGTCGATATTCGCGACCGGGGTTATCTTCTTGTAGTTTCTCACAATAATAGCATGAGTGGTTACCGTCGCTGTTTGAACGTATTTTCCACGCATTTTAATAAAGCACCCGCGTTGCTTATTGATGGACGTCACGTTCAAGCGTAGCTCTTGGGCAAGATCTTCGGCTAATATCGACGTGGCTGCGCATGGGTCTATGAGTGCCCGTATATGATGCAGTCGGCCTCCTGCTTCTATTTTAACGACGGCGGTGGGCGCTACTGGTGTCAGGCTTTGTAGCGAAATAACAGCTGATCGCCCCATAGTTACCATTCCGGATCGAAATCCGCTTTGAGCTTGGCGGTGGAATGCAGAAGATTCCACTCGCCCGCTTTTGATTTGTCGACGGCGAGGGCGGTAACGCTGCTGTCGGGATTTGAAACCTCCCTTGTTTTTTGAAGGCTGGAAAGCTCCGGTTTCCAGTCCCTCTTGATGGTCTCGTTCGTGCTCTGAGTCTGGGCGAAAACGCTGGAGTCCTAATCCCCTCGACCCATCTGGATGGAAAGCGTAGGTTTCCATTCCAGGGGAGTTTGCTGAGCGGAAAGCATCGGTTTCCGCTTCAGGTTCAGGGATTTCCCCCTCTTCCAGGCCTGGGCGGAAAGCTGAAGTTTCCGCTCCAGCCTCTGACGCCTCTAATGATATGGCGTCGCTATCGTCGTCTTCGGCAACCGTATTCCTTGGTGGTCGTCGGCTAAAACGCGGCTTGTCGGCACGTGATGAAATATGAAGCAACGTGTGATGTTGCTCCTGGCACTGCCGGCATCTGCCCTCGTTAGTGCAATGTGCTGCGCGGTGGGTTCCTGCTAAGCAATTGGAGCAGTAGCGGTGGATCAATACTTCACGCAGACGCTCTTCTGGCCCTTTAGCACGAAAAACAGGGCAGAGCCGGAGAGGATGCTTCGAGCCGCAAAGTCGACAAGTCAGGGGATAGCCTCGGGTAGTTTCCGCTTGTTTTCGCATCAACGTGAAGCGGGTCATTTTCTGAAATAGCAGTTTCCCAATCGTAATTAGAACTTTACAAGGAAACGAGATTGACGGGTGGCGAGCCATAGCGAGGTACAAATTTACGCATTCCTTAATGATTGATGGGAAAAACATTCTAACGTTTATACCTGGCTTTATATTGGGGTGGTGAGAGTCGGCAGGGTTCATGGGAACTTTGAGCTGCTTATCTGATAAATAGGTTGCACGGAAAGTGTGGCGGAAACAAATTAACATTTAATTGATGGGTCTATGCATTATAACTTGACGTAGTAATACTGCATTTTGAAATAGATAATAATAAATAATTATGTATTATTCATTATTACCCACCCCATCTATATGAAAAAAAAAAAAAATGCATATAATTTCCATTACTGCAAGCACTAACTGCACACACACACACTATTAAGCGGATCTGCACAAAATTTGCGCAGACCTGCTACAGAAAATGGCAAGTGCAACCTCAGTGTTATTATCGAAAGAACTCTCCATAGTATCGAATTGTTTAGTACATCGATATCGATAACACAACACTACTTCCGTCAATGGCCGATTCTCAACCACGTTAAATATATTCGTCTTTACTACAAGTGCTGTTGTGCGGTGCCGGTGAAATATTTCGAGTTAATTGAAAAAAAAACATAGCAAGCGGCGCGATTGAAACAATAATTAACCCATCGATTTTGATAGCAGGTGCAGTGAAAGGGTGATTGTAAATAGTAAGTAGTAATATGTAAGTAGTGCGAATGTACACACAAACAAAAGAAATAAATAAAAACAAAAAAACGGTGAATTTTAAGAAATAAGTGCGTAGAGTTCCTTTTAAATAAAAAAAAATGCGTAAATTAAAGTTAATTTCTAACAAGAAAAAACGTGCGTAATAAATATACATACGTTTTGCGAAACATATGTATGTGCAGAAGTACCGGTGGAGTGTTCAATTCATTATGTAAATGTGCCTTATGTAAAGGAAAATGTACATACATATGTACCATGTGGTGCTAGTTGGTCGCGTTAAGAGCGTGCCCTTTTAAAGTTTGGGAAAATTTTAGTTTGGCATCCCCCGCGTACAAAAAAAAGGTGGCTTTAGGGGGGTAGGGGGCGTTCTCCTGATTCCAAATATATATACTTTTAGCCGCAGCAGACTTATAGTTTTTAACTTATTTGTTGTTAAAGTTAGTAAATTGAACTAACCTCTCGGCGCTATTTCACACAACAAACACTTTATTTATGAACACACTTCGGCAAAATAGTTTCATTAAAAGCCCGCACAATGAAATGTAAACATATTTTTTAAATTTATGATGTATTTTTACTAAATTAAGTAAGTTTTAACAATTATCACGCACTTATATATGTATACGCACATTGTGAATACAGAACTGTTGATTCAACCATAGTTTCACACTGACATTAGAAGGGTGCTGCCACATCTAACAAAATAACAATAAAAGGTAATAGTTTTTATCGTACCCGTTTTCCTGTTCAGCGTTGAATTAGTAGTAAAGGAGGGTATGGGGTTAAACACCCCCAATATAAAAAAAAAAAAATGACAAGCGCCGCAGGCGAAAATTTTTAATAAAAAATCGCGCGATTTTTTATAAAAAATTTTCATTATTTATCGAAGTATTGATTTTTATGGAAAAAGCGCCACAGGCGAAAATTTTTAATAAAAAATCGCGCGATTTTACATAAGGATCCTCATGTTTTCGGGCGATTTTTTTCCTCCACATGTACTCAAACATCATATCCGCAAAGTTTTGTGGATTATTATAGTTATCCTTTGTAAAAAATCTTTTTAATACACGCCATTGCCGCTCAATCCGTTGCGTGTGTGTACCGTCTTCTGCTACAAAGGGATTATCGGGATCGCTGTGGTTAACTTTCCGGTGCTCATACCCGTGATTAGGAAGGCAATCATACGCCTTCCAATAATCCGTACAAATAATGCTGCCTTCGAGTACATGCTTCTTAATCAGAGGTATGAGCACCTCAGCCGACCGAATGTTCTCAGGGCACACTTCCAAGCGAATATCCTCGCTGCCGTCCTCCAGCATTCCAAGGACCCAATGCCCTTCCACTCTCCTGCCTGAAAAAGAAAATCATTTAGTCGAAGGGTATTTTTCAATATAGATTTATGTTACCTTTATTGTATTTTCGCTTGCCAAACTTACTCTCGTCAATTTGGACAATTTTACCGGGGCCCCCAATTTTCCCCAAAACTTCCTGCTGATCAATTTCGTACAATACTACTGCCTCACGGCAATAGTTGTACCAATCGCAGATGGTAGCGCTGGATAAAATGGATCCCTCGATAAAATTCTCCTTCCTGACGAGAGCCTGCGGCCAGTGCGAAGCATATGTATACATAAGATAAAAAATATGTGGAAGCGATATCTTCGCATTTTCAAACCACGTCCCAGCGGCCCTTGAAGTGGCAGCCCTAGAACGGCAGACCCCTTTGCGGCATCGGAAAAGGCCGACGGTATTGTTTCCCGCGGTTGACACAAGCATCGGTGCCTTATGGATGCGACACAACTTGTTACGTAATATAAGGCCCTGTTCCTCGGCAAATTCAATGCACTTCTCCCGCGTATCCAATCTTTTATAAATTTTGACTAGGTTCCACATATTTTCTACTTCAGCCACGGTCAGCACATTGGCATTCCGCTCACTAACACCACGGCTGGTGGAAGGTACATCAAAATCTATAAATATAATAGTAATTATATCTGTGTATGAACATAAAAAAAGAAAGAAAAACATACCAGCTTGTATCTCACTCATTTCTAAAATTTAAATCAAAATATTAATTACAGTATTTAAAAACGCGCTTAATTTACCCAACTGTTGAGATAAGAACACAAGAATTAAGAAAATAGTACCAAAACAGATTTAAAAAACAACGGTACTTTTTAAAAACAGTAATATGCCTTTGGCAGTGGCACCCATTAAAAGGGGGTTACAAATGTCAGTAAAAAATTAATAAAAGAACATGAGCCAGCTACACCAGCCACAGTACTTTTGCGCAGAACACTTTTCTGCGTAGGCGGCCTTCGGCCGCGCTTAGGGATTATAACCCTTACTACGTAGAATTCTCCTTTCTGTGTGACATAACTTTACTTATGCCAAAGTTTTAATGGGGTATATGGTTCCAAACCCTCCTTTACTACAAATTCAACGCTGAACAGGAAAACGGGTACGATAAAAACTATTACCTTTTATTGTTATTTTGTTAGATGTGGCAGCACCCTTCTAATGTCAGTGTGAAACCATGGTTGAATCAACAGTTCTGTATTCACAATGTGCGTATACATATATAAGTGCGTGATAATTGTTAAAACTTACTTAATTTAGTAAAAATACATTATAAATTTAAAAAATATGTTTACATTTCATTGTGCGGGCTTTTAATGCAACTATTTTGCCGAAGTGTGTACATAAATAAAGTGTTTATTGTGTGAAATAGCGTCGAGAGGTTAGTTCAATTTACTAACTTTAACAACAAATAACTTAAAAACTATAAGTCTGCGGCGGCTAAAAGTATATATATTTACAATCAGGAGAACTCCCTCTATCGTTCCATACCCTTCTTAATGCCGAATTCCGGGGATGCCAAACTAAATTGCAGCCTAAAGTTTTTACACACAAATTGAATATGCGTATTTATGTGTTGGGATAGGTTATGTGAAAAGGTGCAATGCTGAAAGAAACACATGCATACCTACGTATGTACATAGTAGTGTGCCCAGATGACAACAAAGTATTGGCACCTATTTATGTGCATAGTAGTGTGCCCAGATGACGACAAAGTATTGGCACAAAGTGTTATAGTGAAAATGAAGTATTGGCAAAAGTGTGTTTTGGAGAACAAAT